GCAGCGATTTTCGGCAAGTCGCTCATCACCCGAAAAATGTCTTATATATATCTGCCCGCTTTTTCTTAGCCGTCAGGCAGTCAGACAGACGCACATACATACATACATACATACATCGCACGCACACACGCGCACGAACGAACACCAGTTCTTGACCTGTCCTGGCGCTCAAATCCTCTGATTTTGTCAGTTTCTGAGTTACTTACCATATGACCAAGATATGCTGCTAATTCATTTATTGAAATTTATGCATGACGATTTCGCAGCTCATTTACTTTCCTAATTTACCTTAGAAAATTCACTTCAGCGAAGTATTAGTAGTCAAACATTCCAAATTTCATTCATTCACTTGAAAATGCGAATAAGTTGCCTATCAGTCAAAATGTAGCAAACGCAAGCAAATATTATGAATACTCTGTACATAACAAATTCGGAAATTTAGGAGGTTATTATTCTATGTATAATAAGGACTATTGCAGTCGGGGATGTTTATCAAGGTATATAACATGTAATGGATAAGCGAAGAGATTTATAATTCCACCATCCTCGCGAAATGTTTCCGTTTTCGTTCGTTTAATACGAAAACGAAAGGAATTAGTTGACGATTATTTGTTACGGTTTATGACACATATAATTGCAAACATTAACACCGGACAGCAACACCGAAAATAATCTCATATCAATATAAACTTTTCTTAACAAGCCCGTACAATAAATATCAAGAGTACATAATAGAGATGTATTATACTCTAGTATGTACTCTTGATCAATATAGTGTTCTCGTGCCACAACGCCGTCCGATGTCACGCGAAACTTGCGGAAATATACGTACGCATGAGAGTCGTGAAATAACCTATATTTATTGATCGTATTTATAACGCATGACAAAACACCATATGCGAACAGTAAGCAAAGCTGCGGTAACCACGAAACGCGAAATGAGATATGAAAGCCCAAATATAAAAAAAACATGCGTATAAATCACTTACACAAATCTATCGACGAGCGCACTGACACATAGCTAGACACTTACACAACAACAAATGTTGTGTTGAGAACTCAGTGAACAACGACGAACCACCTGTACACTCCGCACACAACAAACGTCGGCGTTCCTTCACACATTCAGGCAGCACAAAACCACTACGGTAGATGCAAGCGTTAAAACGAACATACGAAATACTCATATACGCGCAAAGATAACCTCATATAACGCTACATACGAAATACGCATACATAAAGTTAGCGTTTATTAACTACGGCTATATGCAAGGCCTTACACACAAATAGTACGCTTACACGCTAAACTTCAATACAGTTTTCAAATTTAACTACACAAGAGTTCTAAATAGTCTACAAGGGCACAGAAGGAAATGCGCACCGCGACAGCGTCAATGCGCACACTCAATCGCGTCTACGTTCTGTTTTCTAAGCCCGACAACAACTTATAAGCTGTGTTATTATGAGCATACATATACATGTTCATAGTATTGTTTAATACACGCGAAAACCCTTTCAAGTTTACTTCAGCGCAAAGAGAGAGAGAAAGAGAGACAGACAGACAGACAGACAGACAGACAGACAGACAGACAGACAGACAGACAGACAGACAGAGAGACAGAGACAGAGAGAGAGAGAGAGAGAGAGAGAGAGAGAGAGAGAGAGGGGGGAGGGAGGGAGGGAGAGAGGGAGAGAGGGAGAGAGGGAGAGAGGGAGAGAGAGAGAGAGAGAGAGAGAGGAGAGAGCGCGCGCGAAATCATTGACATACGAACAGACCTGTATATTATGACATCAGTGGACACACGCAACGGCGACAGATAAAATCTAGAGCCCTGGTCGGAGCTCAGTGTGAGGTAGACGATCTCGGAAAGACACGAGGCATATAAAAAAAACCTGCCGCAGCAGTGACACATTTCCATCGTATCACAATGAGACAGACGAAAGGTGGCGCATCGACATTCGAGGCAGCAAGGAGTGCTGCTGTTCGATCCACAGCGTATTATACTGCCCCCCACCTCCCCTAACGACTATGACCAGCAAAAACTGGCGAATATTTCATTAACGAATAATATCAAGAGCTTATAATATATATTAGCTAATTTAATTATAAGCTCTTGATAATATGTCATTAACTCGCCGTCCAAGCTAATTCTCTGGCAGTCGGATTGAAAGGCTTAGGAGGATAACCTATAAACGTTATCTAATTAACCTATAAACGTTATCTAATTAACCTATAAACGTTATCTAATTAACCTATAAACGTTATCTAATTAACCTATTAGTAACCTACTAGTTTAACCTATGAGTCACCACGATCTACAACGGGCGTCAATACCTCGGCTTCTCGGTGACGGAGGACACACAATACTGTATAAGCCAGATTTTCCGCGTACAGATATTTTCGCGAATTCAGACTTGACGGACAATTTTGCGAGTGGTTAATTTCGCGGTCGGTGAATTATGAATTATTCGGTATTATTCAGTATGAACTATTCGCGTGTTGTTATTTTCGCGGTCGGGAACTCTCGAGTATTTTCCTTCTTAGTATACTACGCAAATTGGAGCGCACGATGGTGGCCCTAAGTAAATAGGGGGAATACCTACAATGTGTCACCTGTGACCTGACAATGATTTCTGCCAGAACAATTGTTCTAGTAGCTGTTAGTATTGTTCCGGTATATAAAATCAGGAGTGAATCTATTATTATTCACTCCTGATAAAATGTGCCACTGTTATGAGAGTCATTTTATATTCGTGAAACTATGGTTGACCTGAAGCATGGACATCTCTGTCACTGTTCCCACTCCACATTCTTCATAATGTGCGGTATATAATGACGTATAGCTATTATATCTTATCTATAGCTACAAAAGAGAGAAATACGGCTCCGAAGATCGCGCTAATGTTATACACGTAAACCCTACGTGTTTTTTTGCACTAGATTCCAAATAGAATTCGAAAGCACGTTTAAATATAAAACATAAACGTTGATATCTTACAAACCTCTGTTCACAATGGAAACGAGAAAATGACTAAATCTCACTAATTCCGCATTTAAATTTCGTACTTAAGACGTGAAAATAGCTTATCCCTACACAACCTTCCAACGAACTCTGCACGCGCCATAACTGACTGCATATATCACGCCAGGTTATTTCACGGTAGCGCGACCACGTTTCAACTCAGTGAAACGTAATGCACTGATGGTCTTGAAGTATCAAGATCTGTTAGGGTTAGGGTTAGGCACTAATAATACCGAATAATTCACAATTCACCAACAGCCAAATTAACCGCGCGCGAAATTGTCAATCAAGTCTGAATTCGCGAAAATATCTGTACGCGGAAAATACGGCTTATACAGTATTCGGTATGAATTATTCGCGTGTTGTTATTTTCGCGGACGGGGACGCGTTCACGAAATTCGCGAAAATTATTCCACCGCGAAATATACAGCGTATCTCCGTTAGACCATGAATAGTAAACACGTATACAGCCAACAACATCTCTTCCTACGTTTTTTAACATAGACGATGGTTCACAAATAAAAAACACGAGCTGACTGTGTCGAAAACGTCAACTAAAAAAACGAAAACTATCATCATCACTAACACCACACCACCGCGCGCAGAACAACCACCACTACCACCAAATTATATGCTTACTATCTACCCTTATGGTATGCACTACTAAGTCTGAAACACGACTTGAATAAACTATAATGTAAGTTAATATGAACACTCGGATGTCAAGCACAATATGTATTATCACATAGGTAATTAGATGGGCGATGAACAGTAACTGCTGGCAAACTATTGCATTATCACAGCATGTGCCAAAAGCACTATCATTAAAACCAATTTTCCAGAAAAAATCGGAATAATGTTAGCACTGATCTGACATGATATTTGAAACGGGCTCGTTAATATCATCAATTTAGTAATACACAACGTATTTGTTATAATACCAGAAGCTTTTAATAGAGCTTTGCTATCCTAATTGCATTCACAAATATCTCTATATTAACAGCTGGCCAAACTAAAATAGCTAAACGTACATGAAGGCCCAAGTTAGTGTTGCGTTTGTGACATTATTATAATCACACATAGAGGACTCCGCACATCTCACATCCGCACATCCGCACATCCGCACATCCGCACATCAGACTCCGCACATCTCTGTTAGCAACCATCCAATAACGTTCGCAAGTATGTTGGAACCTCACCCACACGAAAGAATATATGTATATAACAACGCTCATTTATTAAGAGGGACCCAAACACGTGCAAACGTATTATTGGCCTAGTATCACCGATTCTTGTTTGAAGAAAAACAAATATGTGCACCGTTTAAGAGTGTCCAATATTTCCAAAAGTGTGTAAATGCAGTCACGCCTCGCTTAACGTGGATTAGCTTTGCATGATTTCACCGCAACGACTTTTCGTCTTCATTAGGAAATGATTTTTCTGACATACTTCGTATAGGAGAATCTTGTATTGTTGAGACCCCGTGTAAGACTGTGAGAACGTGACTGTACTTTAACCAGTAACTTTTTCTGTGCAATTCCAGTTTTGCAACAACACCTTATTTTGGATTAGTAAAACGTCTAGCGATTAAATGAGGAAAACTATTACATGGTCTCGTTTCATTGGCATTAAAACTTGCATTGCATTATTATACTTCCATAGATGTCGCGCACTTCACAAAGTATTAAAAACTGTTTATATTGGCGTGATCCTACCCAACTGATAACAAATGAGTCTAACAGCTAATCTACAAGCATATGATCTATAGGCCAGTTCACAAAGCAGGTGCTAAGAGCTAGATGCTGCAACAGACTGCCTCTGTGAATTTCAAGACTAGGACTTTAAAACATGTTCAACCATGTTACACAGCCGCAGGGAAGGCCATTGGAGCTTTCAACATATTCTCAGATCTTTAGTTACCACTCACTGATAGCAAAGGTTATGAAGCATGAATAAATCCTAATTTAACTGAAAAAAGATTCAATTTTAAAAGACAATTTGTGTCCATGAGATTAAAATAAGAGAAACTAGTTCATGCCCTTGCCTGCATCATGGTATCTATTTTAATATATGGTGTACCAAACTTTGCTCTGTAGGATTCTCCTAGATTTTTCTTTCCAGTATTGTCTATGAAATGTACCAATTTTATAATGGCAAGCAATAATAGGAGACCACTTTCCATGCGACTTATGCACTTCCCGTCGCAATGCTAATGTGGAACAAATACAGGACATAAAATGCAAAAAAAAAAAATTCATAAAAAAACTCTGGCAATCCTTAGAAGTTGCAATGCTTGCAATGTGTGCTGGCCTTGATCTGCTATCTCTAAGCATGCGTGCAAATCTTGTCAGAAGATCTTGTCAATTAGAGCGAGTCTAGGACTCAGTACTAGTTGGTAGTATAGTGGTGCTCCTCCTCCTCCTCCTCCTTCTCCTCACGTAAATACAGTGCTACTTCATTTGTTCTTGCGGGCGTGCACACTCCTCCGCGGACTCACGTGTTCGCTCCTTCCTGCCGCTTCAGTTCCTTGAGAGCATGCAGCGCCCGCTTGGCTGCAGTGCACTTTGCGATGCGTGAGTTGCGTCCTATGCCCGTGAAGGTGCCCTTGTGGAAGATGTGTACCTCAACTCGCACCTTGTTACTAAGCCTAACTGGTTTCCTGTACAGTAAAGTAAACAAACACACGCAGATAAGCCGCGGCGGCAGGCAATTATAATTATAAATTATTATTTTTTGTTATTATTATTTACTATTAATTAATTATTAATCAGTATAAATTAAAATAGCCACAACAGTAGAAAAAACCACGAGAATAGACCACCCAGTAGAAAGACACATCATAGAAAACAGGCTACTCACTCAAACTTTGTGTTTTCTGGTTCCATTTCCAACAGTTCTCGGATGGGAGACTTGGGAACATTTGCAGTGAAGTGATCTGTAATAATTATGACATTCAGGAGTTATCACTACAGTCTAACATAATGTGTAGCTCAGACTAAAATTTGAGTTCCTCTGTCTCAATACTTGTTGTAGCATAAGAATTTATTGTTTTGCAATTTCTCTCTGCTGCATACGTGGCTCTGCTGTTGGTTCAACATAGAAGGGGTAGCTTTCAGGTTCTTATGTCTTATGTAGAACGTAATCAGGAGGTTGGACATATTTGTCGAAGCATAACCTACCGATCTCTGGTTTCATCATGCGGTAGTAGACTCGCCATACTGTGCTGAGAGACATATTACTGTCCAGATAGATGGCGCCAGCTACCGATTCAAACACATCACCCAAAGCTTTAGGCGTCTCCACTTCTTCTCCCTCCTCCAAGTCCTCATCTGTGAACACAACCTTCAACACAAGAATACCAACAACAGGTTACAGCATGAAACTCTATAAATCACACTGTGAACCTTCTCTATAGTTTCATATAGATATGCACGATATATCCTATAAACTAACATAAGACATGGTTTTTATAGTTTTATAGCCTTCACAATAATTTTTGTCAAAAAATAACATTTAAGAAAGAGAAGAAATAAATATTCTTATACGTACGTCACAACCAGCAGTCTCTTTCTCCTTCTGCATTTTCACATATTTGTCGATGACACGGAAGAGATCTGGCGATATTGCCTTGAAGTAGTGGTGGTAGTCAAACTTCACAGCCAGGGCTACAAGGTAAAAAGCCATCATGAACAATAGAGAAAGATCATTGTTATTCCCATCAAACCAAAATGAAGGTAACAACGACATATTATGCATACGTTTGGAGATATTTTATCTTGGTCTCTGCTCAGCAAAACACTCGCGTGGTATGTGTTCACATTCCCAAATTCTTGTATGAATATCTCATTAAAAATTACTACAGGACAAACCTAGCTAGTCACGACACATACATTGCAGCATGCGTTTTTGAACAAATATGTACCTGCAAATATGGCGTTGTTGACAAGAGCAGAGCGTAGATCAGTGAGAGCGCCAGGTGAGTGCTGCCTGTGATCTTCATAAAGGTGTCTTGTGATGAGGTAGTCGAGAATAGCATCACCTGTCCGGACAAACAAACAAATAAATGCCAAGTGTTCTGTCCCCTTCATGAGCTCATTGCTACGCTAGCCTTGAACGTTTATAATCCTGTCACGAATATTATTAATCATCTGACTTGGAGCTGAGTGTTGTAAGAGACATTGAGCATTGAACACCTAAGCATTTAGCCTCTGCAATATCGGTGATATCGGTGAAGTGGTTGGAGGCCGGAAATCGTTCATAGCGAAAAGGGGTTACTTACCTAAAAATTCTATCCTTTGATAGCAGTCGGTGATCGTGTTGTAATGGTAGGAGGCATGGGTGAATGCTTGCAGAAGATAAGACCTGTCCTTAAACGTATATCCAATGTGTTCCTCAAACTTGTCAAATCCATCCAGATAGAAGTTTAGTAGCTGCTCAGCATTAGGATGGGGAATGAGAGGTGACTTGGGCTGTTCAACTCCTGCCTCTGGCTTTGGCAGAACCTACAGCATGTAAAATCCATACTATCAAAAAAGGTAAGCACTGCCGCCAACAAGTACAGTCTCTGCTATAGTCTAGTTTGACATTTGATGAGAAGTAGCTGCACAGCTGTCTGTGCGGTTAGATTTGGTGTTACCTTCAGTCCCAACCAGGACATGTACATGAGGGCAGCTCGTGGTCCACACTCAATCAGGTAGCAGCCGATGAGTGCCTCAACGCAGTCGGCAATGCTCTTGTCGGGAATGCTGTGCTGGGTCTGCAGGTTATACGGGATGAACGCCGCCTCGGCTTCCACAACCTCCTCCTCCTTCTCTCTCTCCTCTCTCCTCTTCTCCAGCTCAGCGTGGAACTCCTGCTGTTGCCTCCCCATCTCTGTCAGTTCCTGCGTAGCAAGCGAGCAAGACGAAAGCGCTGTTGATGCTGACGTTGCACTGGGAGGGCTTTTCGAATATACTTACACACTATGTCCAAAATCAATCACCGAAACAGGTACACCACTTTGTATACATATTGCTTCGATTATTCCACCGAGTTAACATAGTTTAGGTCGTGGAACAACAGATTAGCTTTTAACATGTAATTCATGTACCCGATTAAAAATACTTCTGCATTACGATGGTTTTCACGGAAACAATTACCACCATTACGCGAGATCTACGCCTCATTATCTGGACAGATGTTTCATGAGAAGACGACCTCGTGTGACATCAGGTACCTGCGTGCTAGGGTCGTCGGTCCGTCCCACAGCTGCCTCAGCTACCTCCGCGTGTGCACCATGCTCCTCGTCAGCGATGGCCAACTGGCCCAGTCCCTCGATCGGACGCACGTCCGGCATACTCTTCTCCCTGTTGTCGGGAATGTAGTAGCCAGGAGGGAGCCAGTTGTCGGTCGGTTCGAACTTGGTCGCGACCATGATCTCGCCTAGATTCTTTTTCTTGCCTAGGCGGTACAGATTCAAGTTGCTAACCTGCAGTTCGCAAGGGAAAAATCGACGTCAAACGCAAATTATAATTTATGAGCCCAACTTCTCATACCCATATAAAGCATACAGGGAATATACATCTGCGCTAGGATCCGGTGACATGGCAATGGACGTATGCGCGAGTACGAGAATCGTGGTTCGAGGATTGTTCTGCATGCACGATTCACGTACTGTGACGTTGTTGTACCTGCTTGCTGCGTGCATAGGACAGTTTGCCCTCGTTGACATGTGGGTACGTCATATACAGGTAAACCGTGATCGCCTGCTTCAGGAACGAATCGCCGATCATCTCCAACCTTTCCAGATTGATGCCGTCATTAGCATTCGACATAGTCAACGCCTGTAAGTGGAGTGGAATTGTAACCTGTGCTATGGCTGACAGTTTCAACCCCGTTTGCCTTTATTTTTCACTTGTTTGCAAATACATGTGGGTGTGTGTATATATACACGTATACACATAGACACCACTATATATATAGATAAATAAATAAATAAATAAATATATATATATATATATATATAGTTTTATCTTATAATTGCTAACAGTGCAATAACTTTCACATTTTAAATTTTAGCATCAACACAACTTGCTATTTTCTTTTAACACCTACTTCATGGGCAAAGAGCACGCTCAGCGTCATACCTGCAGAATCATGCATGGGCTTGACCAGGATGGTTTTCTAAATCGAACGATGCTCAAAGGCTGATACTGTTGGAATCTCTTCCTCTTCAACAACTGGCTTGACCATCAGAGCTTCACCAAAGCCAGGACCCTTATCATCTCATCTATTGGATCAGCCCCAACTGCTACTGCATCGCAATCTGTTCATCATCGTCGATATCACAAACGTGCTTTCCGAGATCAGACGTCACCCTTCCTTTTAGCACACAAGTATCACAGACATCCCATCATGAGTTATTTCTTCGTCACACTTCCCGCCTCTGCCTCCTTCACCTTCCTCTTGCTCCTTCTTCCACCAGCAGCAGCAGCAGCGGCACCTACATACTCCTCCGCGTCAGATCCTGATGGTGACTCATCGAGCATCTCACCGAGGTTTGTGAAGAAGCCGTCCGACTTGTTGAAGAGACCGCGATAGTTGACGATGACTCCCTGTAGCAGTACTCCTCGTCGTAACCACGTAGTCATCGTCGTATGGGTACACCTGCACGAATTTGTCAACACTGTCAACCTTAGTATTGTACATCTGCACGAATTGTCACACTGTCAACTGTAGTTCAGGTACACCTGCCCGAATTATCAACACTGTCAACCTTAGTATGGGTACACCTGCCCAAGTTGTCAATGCTGTTAAACTTGGTACAAGTACACCTGCACGAATTGTCAACACTGTCAACCTTAGTATGGGTACACCTGCCCAAGTTGTCAACACTGTCAACCTTAGTATGGGTAGCAAAACTGCGCGCAGGGAGTTGTCATGCTGTTAAACTTGGTACAGGTACACCTGCACGAATTGTCAACACTGTCAACCTTAGTACAGGTACACCCTGCACAAATTGTCACACTATCAACCTTAGTATGGGTACACCTGCCCAAGTTGTCAATGCTGTTAAACTTGGTACAAGTACACCTGCACGAATTGTCAACCACATGTCACAGCTTCAGTTTACAGGTACACCTGCACAAATTGTCAACAACTGTCACCTAGTTCGGCGTACGCACCCTTGCACGAAGTCAACACTGTCAACTTAGTTTGGGTACACCTGCAACGTATTGTCACACGTCAGCTGACTAGTAACGGGTAGCACCTGCACGAATTGTCAACACTGTCAACCTTAGTTTGGGTACACCTGCACGAATTGTCAACACTGTCAACCTTAGTTTGGGTACACCTGCCCCAAAGTTGTCAATGCTGTTTAAAACTGGTAGCAAGAGTACGACCTGCACGTATTGTCAACAAACTGTCAGCCTTAGTACAGGTACACCTGCACGAATTGTCAACACTGTCAACCTTAGTATGGGTACACCTGCCCAAGTTGTCAATGCTGTTAAACTTGGTACAAGTACACCTGCACGAATTGTCAACACTGTCAACCTTAGTTTGGGTACACCTGCACGTATTGTCAACACTGTCAGCCTTAGTACAGGTACACCTGCACGAATTGTCAACACTGTCAACCTTAGTACGGGGTACACCTGCATGTAATTGTCCAACACTGTCCAGGCCATAGTAAACGGGTACAACACCTGCACGAATTGTCAACACTGTCAACCTTAGTACGGGTACACCTGCCTGAGTTGTCAACTGTCAACCTTGGTTTGGGTACACCTGCACACGTTGACACAAAAACTGTCAACCACAATATGGTTACACCTGCACGAATTGTAAAAAGCATACTGTCAATTATAGCTGCAATGTCATATATCTTACATAGTGATACCCTAACATTATCTTTACTACCTTATGCATCATCTACACAAATATATGGTCCAACCAAATCAGGGAGGTCTAGCAAGAAAATTTGTAGATCACAGAGTAATTGATACTGAAAAAGTGGACACTTACAGTGTCATATGTGAGCGATTTGAGCAATTGGAACAGAAGAATAATTAAACGTGATTAATTCTACCCTTAAACTAGGTTGCTAAAATGACAGGTACTTTACCTCAGGGATCGTAAAACTGCTCTGAGTAGCATTTATCTCATCCATGTGATGATCTTCAGCTCTCCAAACTGTAATCTCTAGCTCCCCCTCCTCTTCCTCCTCGGCACCATCATCAGCTTCTCCATCGGATGTATCCTCCTCCTCTTCCTCCTTTACTTCTGACAGCTGCCAACCAAAATCCAGCCTGGGGTACCTTAAATAAAGAACGTTAACCTTCTAACCTCCAACATCTAGATATTTACTATGTACAGTCAAAGGGTAATAGCTGTCACCTCTATAGAAAACACACCTGTCTATAAAAAAATCGCTTCGGCATTTCTCTTGAGTAGAAAATATACAGTGAAACTGGTTCTATAGAATACACACCTGCATATAAAGGACACTTTTGGTGTTTCCCTTGAGTGACCCTTATATACAGGGTTGACTGTATAGCCATCGAGCATTTTACTACGTCTTACAATTTTTAATTTCACACTTAGACTACTAGACTCAGGTAAGAACCCTGTATCTGTAGAGAAATTGTATCCAATGGAAACGAATTAGTAATTTTGTGTACTAATATATACTACTTATACATACTGATCACCTGACAAACCATTTGTTTGTTGATTAAACAGAATGATTAAGTCAACACTGCATCAAATTGCTTAACTGACATAACCAACTAATGAAGACGTATGGCGAAAGAAAACATGCTCATTACACCAAATTTTCTTGTATGTGCTGAAGAGCATAAGACCTGAGGTCGGTCATCAGCAACGTCACAAATAGTTATGACAGCATGAATCTAAAAATATCACACCTTTGGCGCGCCGCCACCCTACGTGCAAACGTGACGAGATTTCGTACATCTGATAGTCATGTCCGTGACGATGATTATGTGGTTACATAACCATACCAACAATCATCACAACCAGTAGCACATAACTATTAGCGACACTTGACGACGGGCCACGAGACTATTACGGGACATGGTAGCCGTCCGGCAGTCTAAAGCCTAGTGCGTAAGTCTAAGGTATCATCAAGGACTCACCGGTAGCCATCCGGCAGCTGGACGAGTCCGATGCGCGCCTCCTTGGCGACGCGCACACGCAGCTGTTCGGCGAGCAGCAGGCAGTTCATGCGGTAGAGGATGCAGGGCAGGCAGACGGCCTTGCGCCAGAGCGGCGCCGGGAACGGGTGCACGTCGCACAGCTCCGGCACGAGCAGCTGCTTCTTCTGCAGGTCGTCGCGGCTCGTCTTCTTGCTCTCGGCCGGCACGCTCGCCGGAAGCACCATGCCCTTGCGGTTGAGGTACCTGCGACACGGTCAACGCAGGCGGTCAACCGAGCGGATATCCGGGGACTGAGGCTCAACGGCCCGAGGGTCATCAATGCCGGCAATCAACTGAGCGGTTATCCGGGGACTGAGGCTCAACGGCCCGAGGGTCATCAATGCCGGCAATCAACTGAGCGGTTATCCAGGGACTGAGGCTCAACGGCCCGAGGGTCATCAATGCCGGCAATCAACTGAGCGGATATCCAGGGACTGAGGCTCAACGGCCCGAGGGTCATCAATGCCGGCAATCAACTGAGCGGATATCCGGGGACTGAGGCTCAACAGCCCGAGGGTCATCAATGCCGGCAATCAACTGAGCAGATATCCGGGGACTGAGGCTCAACGGCCCGAGGCTCGGCGGTTGCGCGCGCGAGGTAATTACGCAGAAAGACTCCGTCTATTACGCCGTGCTAGAGCCGCAATGATTAACCGGTGTATTCGTTCATTGTGATACAGCGTCTCGCAATCGCAGTGTTTCTGTTTACCGACAGAACAGTGCTTATAATGCACCAAAATAGCTTAAAATGCACAATTTGTTCAAAAATTTTACGGGGGGGGGGGGGCATGCCCCCGGAACCCCCTAGCTGGGCTAACACCTGAGGTGCTTGCTTTGCTATGACTTCAAAACGCGCAAGCACACCAAAGAAAATTTACCACCTCACAGGTCTTTTTGGCCAGGGGAAACACTGCAATCGAATCGCTGCTCTCTGCTCTCATTCCTTCAACCTATTTTCTCTGCTTCTATTTCCGCCATTCTCTTTCTTATCCATGTGTATATATTACACACTGCATTGTGATCTTATAATTAATCCTTTACACCAGTGGTTCTTAACCTTTTTTGAGTCATGGACCCCTTTGAGAGTCTTGTGAAAGCTACGAACCCCTCCCCAGAAAAATGCACATAAGCACATAAACACAAAATTTTGCAACATGCACCTGGTTCACAGACCCCCCTGAAGCCCATCCACGGACCCCAAAGAAGTCCATGGACCACAGGTTAACAACTCCTGCTCTGCACCACCTTGCCTCATATGTAAAGACACCTAGAAGAGGCGTGCCTATTTTGTGAGGAGAGGTGTTTCCGTGGCCGTCGTTCGACGCAGCCGTACAGTCGTATTTATGGTACGCACCTGGGGGTGAGCAGGTTGAGACGAGCAGACGTGTGATCAACATCCAGCAGCGGCTGCTCTATGCTGCTGATGGCTATGCTGTACTTCTTGCTGAAGTAGTCGGAAAACGTCGGGAAGTTGTCTGAATCAAAAGAATGCAGGTGTCACATTTCCTGTGTCCAAAGTTCCGAAGAATTACAACCTTGGGCTTTTGTTAAAGCGAATTTTCGTAGTACAGCTTGAAATTCCCTGATCTGTAATCCCATGGTTTGGCAGCTTCGGTGTTTTGGAATGACGAATTTAATCTAGCGGTCCTTAGCATTATCTAGTAATCTACCGATTTCTGTGTCATACTATAGTAAACTTAGCATTAACATTTTATCATAAAAGGTTTCAACAAGCCTGGGTTAGATTTATGCATACGTAAGTTGTATCCGTATCAGTAATAATACACTATACGCATGTTTTTTCCTTTTTTGACCACAGCTTCAATGGTTCGGAATTCTCTCCAATCAGCAACTGGTCTCATGTCAAGCTCTCGAGGTTAGTGAGTTGCAACCTGTAGTGTGTACCTGAGGGGAAGCTGCTGAGAGGGGTGAGGTCTCTTCGTATCTCGGCGACGTAGAAGTACTGAGGCTGGTCGAGGTTGCGGTACGACGGTGACACCACCGCCTCGTGGAACTGATCGGGATCGAACTCGAACTTCGTCTGCCGCTGAGAGGGCAGCACACGTGGCTTGCTCTGGTAGGATGCGATGTGTTCTATGAACTGCCAGTCGATGCTGTACCCGCATTCATTGTCTGCAAACGACGAAACCCACCTCACTCATTGAAACATCTGGGTTATCAAGATATGAGAAGTCACTTAGTACCAAGCAATATATTTTATGTACAAAATGTGATTCCTGATAATTTTCAGCATAATCTTTAAAAGCAAATAATTTCTGGTTTTAATAGCAGAGACTGGAACATGACATAAATGCTTACATTAGATTTACAGCACATAACATGCATTCTTGTATGCAACAAAAAAAAATAATCGACACACATATACACCCATGCTACTATGCAACCATACACACACGCACATTTTCACTGCACGCAAGCACATAAGCACACATGCTTACACGAGGCATGAACATACACATAGGCGTGTACACCCACACACGCACACACACGCACCTATGTTAAGAGGTACAACAATGTAGCTGGCACAGTCATCAGATGTGTGGTTGTATTGCATGGGAGGCTTGTCCAGTCGCAGCACGGAGGAAAATGTGAAGTAGTGGAATAATGAGAGTCTCTGCAGTTGCTCCTCCATCAGAGTGAATTCGGAAGCCACGAGTTCAATGGAGATACTCACCTCCCCTGACCGCGTGTATACGGGAAACTCTGGAAGCTGATACAACATATTGCAAGCTGATAATTTTATGGCAACGTCCCAGTTATTGACACACATAGACACTGGCAAGTGATGTTGTAGTTGGCACGTGGACATGGATGACGTATATATTACTACTAGCTACATTTTATTATAGGTCAAATTAAATATTTCAGAAATGACGGTGGGAAGACAACCATTATTTCTACTATTTTGAATAAGGTGAACAGGTCCCATTAGACATTTTATTATTCTCATGCAATGCCACAGAATTATACCTGCAATACTTCTTTGCTTGTTAGTATTCCAAAACACTGCGGTGTGTCTTCAGGGTGGTAGATTTCACGACCTCTGGTGTTTTGTTCTTCAGTAATTGGGCGTGAAAGCTCCATGCTGATGATGTAGAGAAAGCAGTGCTCACCTGGTGTGGGATGACAGCCCTTTAAGGCATCGGCTATCTGTTGGTGGAGGATCGAACAAGACATTCAGCGGGACAATCTGTGATGGCATCACATCGGTTTGACATTAAGGATGCCTTCTTGCTCAATTCGTGCCGTAAAACGCAAACGCAGTTAAAGTTACTGCATTTTGAGCTCGTGTGCCGTTTTTATGCATGCTCACCTGCTTGTAGTAGTACTGCCGACGCTTAGTGGTTCCCGGGCGCGGCATGCCATCTGCTATCTCCTCACCCTCTATCTCCTCCTCTATCTCACACTTCATGGCTTCCTTGCCGACCGGCAGCAGATGATTGTCAAGCTCGCCCGCCTGATGCAGTTTCATGCAGGTCTTCAGTGAAACGGCCATTCTTGCTAGCTTCACAGTTGGCATCGGTTCGCCCTTCGATGAGTACACACACAAACACACACAATTAGATTCTCCGATTTATTAAAATATTTTTTTTCTGTTTGCAGAGAGTTAATTAATTTCTCAATAAATATATAAATTTACGTATATACTTCACTGCACTGCATGATACTGACTGACAATGTTTGATATGATAAAATACACAATTGATACACAGTGCCCCTAATCATCACCACATGTGTGCAATGTCTACTCTGGCTGGTACAGCTTTTAATCGATTTTAGTAACAGAGGATGCAATCTTCGTGACACAAAACGTTACAAAAAGAATGGCGAGAATGCATAATTCTTCAAATGGACACGGAACGACGCAATGCAAAATTACGCCACGGCGGACAGCAACTCACTGTGATGGAGTACTTGATAGGGGAGTTGATGGGAAGGTGGAGTGTACACTCCACCAGAGGCATCTTGCCGTCCACGTTCACCCTCCGAATCTTCCACAGCGGTGTCAGGTGCGTGAACGCATCGCTCGGCAGACGTGCACAGTACCTGTCGTTATATAGCACCGTCAACCACACTACCTTCCACTCGCGCATTTACCTAGCGTCTCTGTGCACCCGATTCGACACTTCGATTGTTCAGGCAATGGGAGATATGCAGAGAGAACACGATGTGATAAGGTGTGGAAAACATTTATGAATGATCGCGGTCCATAACGTAAGAGGCACCCATCCTTTCTGCTGCAAATTGCTCACGCCTGCTTGCGTTTCACGTCAGTCAAAAGCATGAGCAGTGGAATGTAATTTCTTAAGTATGAGTAAGTCCCCCTAGCTATCAGAATATTCAACAATGTCCCCCTAGCTCTAGCACTGGGGAAATGGGGAGCATACTAAACCCATATAACTGCTTATCAATGCACACCTGTTCACAAGTCCAATGGCTGAGGACATTGTGACTCTTGCCTGCCCATCTCCCTTCACTGGCATATAGGGAGGAAGATATTGATCTGCCAAACTAGCGTCAATATCCTCTTCTGTGGGTTGCTGGCGATCCTGACACTGACTTAGCAGAATCTAAATTAGCAAAAGAAAGAGGACATTAATTTCCTATGACTGCTCTGCTATAATATGCTCTGCCCTGCTCTGCTGCGGTGCTTGTGCTGATATAACTACATTGGTTATCAATAATGCTGACAATTTAATTTGCTAAAAATAAAGAATTCGTGTATAGAACATATTAACATTCTGTTTACAAATGTAAAAGGTTTAAACGACCTCAACATAGGATCGTACATGCTCCAATTAAATTATATATGACTGTACTGGCCATTGCTAAATTTATCATGAAACTAGCAGTGAACAAATAGACATGCTTAACGACGACATGATGATATGGGCGTACTGTAATACACTGTGTCACGAATGTAATGTGTTCCAGTAAAAGTTTCTAACGCAAAACTGTAACGTGACATACGTTTTCCCACCAATTTCCATTACATATATTCTCTCTCTCTCTCTCTCTCTCTCTCTCTCTCTCTCTCTCTCTCTCTCTCTCTCTCTCTCTCTATATATATATATATATATATAGAGAGAGAGAGAGAGAGAGAGA